GCGAGATACAGAGCCTTCAAGCAAGGCTCACAGGCCCAGCAAGGAAAGGCGAAGGGATGGTTACTGGGTTGGCATTTGGAGGCCCCTTCAGCCTCACAAATCACCATTTACAGGGCTGCCCTGTCCAGCAGCAGCTTGGTGGACTCTTTACTAGGCTAGGCTTACTGCTTACACAGGTTCATGGGTCCTTGGCATCCTATCCCATGCAGCACCCATGGTGGGAGAGGAGGTGCTTGGTGCTCACCTGAGGGAGAACAGTCCTGTGATCCAGAGAGCCACCAAATGTCTAGAACAGCCACAGTTTATGGAGCCATACCCCAGAAAGACACCACCAGTAGGCGGGCAGTGTGCTGTCTTCCATGGTAGAAGAGTGTCCTGGGTTTAAACTCTAACTCTGCCACTGTCTCCATGACCTTATCCCATATCACCAAGTTTCCTAGAGCTTTAGTTTCCTTTATAAAATGGGGGTGCCCGGAGGGTTCAAGAGAGCTGTGTGCTGATGTAAGGCATTCAGCAATGCCTGTACACAGCAAGTGCTCAATGAGTAGATGCATACATACAGAATATACAAGTCACCTTTTCATGAGGGCCGACCAGGCATTGCACCAGGCCCTGCAGCCACACCAGCAAGTTTAGTAAATTCTTCAAACGCATGATATTCTTTAGAAAGTTATACAAAGAGATGAAAGTATGGGGGCCCTAAATTGGTAAATTCCTATTTGGGAAGAAACTGAAAGCCCAACTCAGGGCAGACAGCGAGGTCTCACACACTGCAGCAGGCTCAGAGCCTTCATTCTTGCCCACACGACCAGCACCACAAGCCCTGCCCGCCTTCCTTCACTTGGGAGGGGCCCAGGAGCGTCCTGCTGTCAGTCCTTCAGGAAGGCATCTCACCACAGTGGAACACATGGGCAGGAATTAGGGACATCATTAGTACGGAGGGGAAGAGTCAAACTAGTGCCAGGCTGACTAGTGCCCAGGTGGAGGAGGGAGAGGTAAGCAACCACAGTTCATCTTCATGACTGACGTTTCCACCAATATCCCACATTGTGCCCCTCCGCCCCTTTGCTGAGGCTGTCTGCCCAGGTGATGCCAGCACCTCCCCCAGTCTCCCTGTGTCCCACTTTTGGAGTCATCCTGCCTCTGGCAGCCCTATTCTTTTCCCCTCATTCTGTCTCCATCTTTTGTGCCTGGGCAGTCGCCGTGGGTGGCAGATGCTCTTGCCAAGTGTCTGTATCCGTGCCTGGGCTCCCATTGTTCCCTGTAGCCTGATGGGGTTGTGAGAGCTTGCCTGCACCTGGATTCCTAAGCCTGGGAGGGATCGCTTTCACCCAAGCCCAGAGGAGGGACCAGCGGCAGGGGCTGGAGACTCTGCAAGGAGGCCTGAGGTTGGCTGTCTCATTGCAGACACAGGAGAGCAAGGCATTTGGAGTCAGGAGACCTGTGTTCTCGTTCTAGCCCATCTGCCTGGTTGGCTGGCGTCCGTTTCCTCATCAGCACAATGGAGATGCGTAGCTGTGTGCGGCGCTACAGTGAGCATGGGAGCCAGTGGGCACGTCAGGACAAACCTTCAGCAAGTGCCCAGCACACAGCACTCCTTGTCCAAGTCAGTCCCTTGCAGGGATACAACGTGCCTCATCAGTAATACGAAGGAGATGGGGTTACCTCTCAGCTGAACTTGGTATTATTTGGTGTGCCATCTCCAGGAGTCTGGCCTCACCAGGATGCCTAGAGCATCTGGCTGTGTGGAACTCGGGCACCTCTGAGTGGCCAGTTGAGTTTCCTGCTTCCTCCTGAATTGTCCATCAGATTTTGTTTGCTTGCTGAACTCATGAGGAATGCCTGAATGGGCATGTCACAAGGCTAAGGGCATCAATTACAGTCTAGGAAAGAGGAGGGAGCCACACCTGCCAGTGTCCCCAGGGAGCCAGGCCAGCCCCAAGAATCCTCCAGAGGAGGAACCAGTAGACATGAGCTCAGTGCCAGCTCCTAGGCCCCCTCTTCCCTCCCTGGGCCTGTGTCCTCTCCTCTAAAATGGGGGTCATGGTGTATTTTCCCTGCTTCTCATGCAGGGCTGATGGGAGAAGGGGGGAATCAGTGACTCCCAGTGTGTCCAAGGGACAGTGCTGATGGAGGTCAAGACCTAGGATGGTGTCGGCTTGCAGCCTGCAGCCCTGGTAGCACCACTGGCTGTGCAGGCCCGAGTCGCCATGGTAGAAACAAGATGAGGGGGAACTGCAATCTGAATATTGACTCTCCCTCTGTCCAGCCCAGGTCTGTCCAGGGAGAGCCCAGCGCAGTGGGTTTGGGTGAGAAACTTGCGGTCCAGTCCCACGTCTGGTAGCTCAGGCAGGTCAGCTGTGACCCTGCAGCCTCAGTCAGTAAAGTGGAGGTGACTGTGCCCACCTGTGAGTTAACACTTCGTTGGTTGCAAATAATAGAAACCAGCCGCAGCCTGTGAGGTGCCTCACAGGACCCTGTGACCCTGTGGACCCTGCAGGTAGAAACGCTGCCAGGCCCTGGGTCTAATGGCCCCAGGGTCTCCAGTGCTGTCAGGACCCCCCCTCCTGCCTGCCTCTGGACAGTACCTCCTGCTCTTGGGCCCTGCACACTGGCTTTCTCTGTGTGTTGGGTCAAATGGTGGTAAATGGCTGCCAGCAGCTACCAAGTCCGCAGGTCACAGCCTAGGACACTGGGTCCCCTCCATGTCTGTCTGTCTGTCCCCTGCTCTGTGTGCTGTGATTCTCCCTCTCAGGCAGCCACCCTAAACCAATCAACAGTGGCTGGGGACAAAGCCAGTGGGTCCAGGTCTCTCCCTTGCAGGTAGGGTAAAGTATCAGAGATACCACGTGCCTCAGCAGCAGCAGGAGGTGAGGTCACCTCCCAGCCGAGGAGGGCAGGAGAGGCTGGCGTCTCCACCGGAGCTGAGGATGCCAGCAGCAGAGCAGCCCTCTCCCCTCACCTACCAGGGCACTTGGGCAAACTGCCTTCCTGCAGTGCGGCCATCCGCCCTTCTGTAACGTGGAGGAATGCCTCCACGCTCCCTCCTGCAGTTCCGCTCTGCTTGTTCCGGAACAGATGATAACAGAGATGGAGCATATGGGCCCCAAAGTCACCCGACATTCTGGGAAAGTGACACCGTGTTACCCCGGGCTTGGGGGGAGGGACCCATCACTCGTGAGCACAGCTTCTCCCTTTGTTCTTCAGAAGGGCACGAGGTTGCCCCTCCTGAGAGGAAGTGTGCACACTTGGACTTCAGGGAGGATTTCCTCTGTCTAGGCAGCGATTTGGGAAAGCAGCCATAGGGTGGGCACGTATATGGGGAGGAGAACATGATGGAAGCCAAAGTCCAGTCCTTCCTGGGCCACTCCTGCCTCAGCCCACAGCCCAGGCCTCTGCCACCCACAGGGCCTCACCCAACCCGGCCTCCACGGCCCCGGCCGCCTTGGGTGCCACAGGTATGTCAGGAGCCTCCCAGAGTGCTGCAGCAGATCATGGGGAGTGCCCAGCTGGCCTCCAGGCCTAGCTCCACCCTGGCCTCAGCGGGTCCCGGCCCAGGGTTGGGTGCCTTGGCATTTTCGAAGCCGAGTTTCCTTCTCCTCCTCGCAACTCTCAGTGCTCTGTGCCTCTGAGCTAGACCCACGCATGGTGCCCCCAGGGCAGGCTTTCAAACCATTGGGAAGGCGGGGGGCAGGTACTGCATCAGCCCAGGGCGGGGTGGTTTAGGCATTCTTCTCTTGTCCCCTGTAGGTCTGACCTGTGGTCCGGAGGGGCCCTGCCGTCCCCTGCTCTCCCCAGGCCTGGTCCTTGCCAGCTCCTTTGGACACTGAGGTTGGGACAGCCAGGGTCCACATCCCTCTTGGCTTTGTGATGAGCTCGTGGCGATGCCGTGCAGCTCTAAGCAGGCTCTCTGGGGCTGCAGTCAAGGTTGGGTGTGTTGGGAGACCCACCCTGAAAGCCCAGCTCAGGCTGTGCAGGCGGAGGACAGGCCCAAGAGGGGCTGAGAAAGCTGGAGGGAGCGAGGAAGCAGGTGCTGGATGTGGAGGGAGAAGAGCTGGGCGCAGGCACGGGGTCCCTCATCTCCCACATCCCCTCCTCGCTGTGGTTCCCCAAGTCTCACCATGCGAGTTGCGAAGCTTTTGGTAGGCGAGAAAGCCCCCAGATGTAAGTTCCTAGGCAAGAAGCTGCTTAGTGAGGAGAAGGAGAGGAGACGCTTCACTTTTCCTTTCACCACTGACTTGTGGCCTGGCAGCCTTGGGGCTGTCCCTGCTTTTTTCTGACTTTCCCTGGGAATTCCCAGGAGGACCCTAAGATTGTGGATATAAATCTTGGTGCTTCAGGACAGCAGAGAACTGGTTAAACAGAGCCTGGCCTGCCTGTGGGCCAAGCGGGTTAGAACCAGAGGCAGGCCACGGGGCAACCATGCCAGCGCTCGAGTCCACCGCCCACTGAACCACTCACCAGGAACCCAGTGATCCTGTGCACGGCCCAGCACATTCTTGCCACCCCTCCTTCCCTCCAGTCACAGGTGATGACTTCTTTATAGGAGAGCTGTAGACAAAGGAGAGAACGAACAGGGACTGACACAGCCTCTTGCGAGACGATTCTTTGGTCTCTGGGCAGCAACTGAACCAGAAAACTAACAACACAGGAGCCCGGCCTTGGCCGATGGGCTGTGTGGGTGAGGCCGGGCAGAGCGTGCGGTGAGGACAGGCCCTCGCCCTTAAGCACTTTGCAGGCCGGTCCCAGACTCAGGAAGAGGTTGCAGAGTCTGAGGTGTGCCAACCAGCACTCCAGCCAGTTGGCGCTGACTACCAGTACGTCACTGCCTGTCCCTGGACCTCAGCATCTAGGCTGTGAAAGGGAGCTGATGGCCACCCTCATTACCTCCCAGGGTTATTGGGGAGAGACCAGATCCAGGCTGAGCACAGGCCCTGGAAAGTGCAGTGGACGCTTGAGTCCGCGGACTGCCTGTCACAGCCTCCTCCTCTTCCCTGCAGGGCCACCCGTTCATCATGCAGTTCAATGACGGAAACGCCACTGTGGTGTCCATGTGGGTGTGCAGGGCGTTGGAGGAGCGGCGGAGCCAGCAGGGACCCCCATGAAGCCGCAGTGGGGAGCTGAAAGCCCAGGACTGGTCACCAAGGAAAACCACCCACCTAACACCCTGTCCGTATGCTACCTGCACCAGAAGAGCTTTGCTGGGCCCAGGCTTCCCTGCCCTCGCCTTCCTCTCTGCCAGCAGGTGGCCTTACCTGGGGAGCCCCACATGTGGCCCGCCCCACCAGGCCCTCCCTACACCTTCTGGTCTGGAGGCGCCGGCTCTGGCAGGGGATAAAGGGTGGGGCAGCGAGAATGGAGGCGCCCGGGGCCCCTGCCCACTTCTATTTTCCTAACCTTTTCTCTGTAAAGGGTCAGGCCCGTCAGCAACACTGACGGGAATAAAAGTATTACTGCTTTGTGACAGCCTCTGCCATGAGGGTTGTGTTGTCTGGTGGGTCTGTCGCCCCCCAGAGCTGGGGGCAGGTGGGGTCTCCACTTCAGCAGGGATGTGTGTGGCAGTGCCAGCTGTCCGTCCAGTCACCTGCAAGCGCCCTGCTCGCTCTCGCAGTGCTGTGCTGAGGCCCGCAGCCCGGCTCTGTTGTCAGATGAGACAGCAGCACGGGCGGCACTCGGACAGGTCCCGGGGCAGGGAGTCGGCCTGGATCTCGGGCCCCCACCCTGAGCTCCTCACTGAACTGCCAGACATGTCCACTCGACCTGCGAGGCCTAGGACGGAGTGGGCTGTTCTGAGAGGCCCCTCTCCACCGCCACCCCTTGACCCCACAGCTGCCACTCCTCTCAGGCAGTACCTCAGTCACGTGCCAGGTCAGCCTGGCTACCCCCAGTTTACAGGTGAGGAGCTGAGGCTCCAAGGGGCTCGGGTTTCCACTTGGAGGCCTGAGCAGCATCTCAACACGTCCAGAAGCAAATTCCTAATCCCCACCCCACCCGGACCTCCTCCTGCAGCGTTCCTGTCTCAGTAAATGGCATCTCCGTCCTCCCGGTGCCCAAGCCATTTGGCACTCAGAAGCACCAGGACGTAGCCTTGACTCGCTTTTCACACCCGCATCCAGCCTGCCAGAAGTCCTGCTGTCTTTGCCTTCAAAGAATATTGGTTCCTTCGCCTCAAATTCTCTCTCGACTCCAGCCAGTTGGCCTCCTTGCTGCTCCTGGAACATCCGGGCACATCACCACCCAGGGTCACAGCAGAGACGTCTAGCCACGGAAGGTTCGCGCTCCCTCCACAGGCTACCACGATGCTAGGGAGCCGCTGCCCAGCTGAACCTCCAGCTCATGGGTGGGATTGGTGCTATTATAAAAGGGTGAGTTTGGGGCCAGGCACAGTGGCTTTGGCCTGTAACCCCAACACTTCGAGAGGTTGAGGTGGAGGATTACTTGAGCCCATGAGTTCAAGACCAGCCTGAGTCAACATAGTGAGAACCTGTCTCTAACAAAACCTAAAAAATTAGCAAGGTGTGGTGGTGGATGCCTGTGGTCCCAGGTACTAAATGAGCCATGATGGTGCCACTGCACTCCAGCCTGGATGACAGTGAGACCCTGTCTCAAAAATAGACCAGGCACAGTGGCTCATGCCTCTAATCCCGGCACTTTGGGAGGCCAAGGCAGGCGGATCACCTGAGGTTGGGAGTTCGAGACTAGTCTGCCCAACATAGGGAAACCCATCTCTACCAAAACAAAATCAGCAGAGTGTGGTATCGCACACCTGTAATCCCAGCTACTCTGGAGGCTGAGGCAGGAGAATCGCTTGAACCCGGGAGGCGGAGTTCACCACTGCACTCCAGCCTGGCAATAAGAATGAAACTCCATCTCAAATAAAGTTAGTTTAATTGAGCTAGGGGCTCAATTATTTAGATTGGGGTTTTACATGTTACTAGCAGCTAGTACCGCGCCAGCTAAGGTAGGCCTTTGCACCTGGTGCCTGGAGCAGACTTCCCCCATGCGCCCACATGGCTCACCTCCACGCCTGCAGGTCTCAGTTCAAATGGCATCTCAGGGGACCCACCTAAGCACTCCAAAATCGCAACCTCCCGCACCTGCCCTGGGGCCGCACGTGCCCCTCACCTGCACCATTTTCCTCTACCGCGTTCAGAACTGTGCGACACTCCACTCATTTTCTCTTCTGTCTCCTTCCTCCCCTGCCCTCCATTAGAATGGAGTCTCCACAAGGGTAGAGATTCTGGTCTTTTTCACATGGTATCCCCAGTACAAAGAACAAGGCGTCGGCTCTGCACAACGTATGTGGGTCAAATGGCCACAATGGTGGACTGTGCATGCGCAGTGCCCAGGAAAGGGCACCCTGTGTGGGGCATCACGTGGCTTCCCAGGCGGGGTCAGATCATCTTTTTCGTAACACTTTTCAAGGCACAGGTCTCCAGCCTTCTCCGAGCACCTGCCATTTCCCTGGGGCTTGGAAGGTCACAGAATTGGATGGGGCCACAGCCACGAAGACCGTGCTCCCTGGCCCAGTGCTCAGGGCAGGGAGAGCTGCCGGCAGCACCGCGTGATGGACTTTCTCAGGAAGAGGCTCTCAGAGAGGGAGGAACGCTCAGGGGTCCCCACACGGGGCTGACCGCCCCAGAATGTGAAGCAGCCACCCCCCACACTAAAGCATATCCTCATTTTGAGAAGATCCATCCAGCAAGCCTGTCGTGCCCAAATCCCAAGTCAAGGGCAGTAGGAAAAATGAGCAGGTACCATGCTGGGCAGCGTGCTTAGGGCTTACTCTATCAGCTTGTTTAACCCCCACCGTGATCCCAGGAGGTAGATACGATTATTCTGCCCATTTTACAGATGAAGAAACTGAACAAGTGACTTACCCAGGGTCACCCAACAAACAGCAAAGCGCTGTTTGGGACTCAGAGCTCCACTCTTAATCATGGCTCTTCTAGTCAACTCCACACACACAGCACACATGTGCACACACGTGTACACACGCACACACCTTGTCCTCTACCACAGAGATTCCCAGACTCCAGTTTGCCGAGATAATGCTAATACCCTTGGGAAGGGGCCAAGGATCTGCTCTTTGACCAGCTCCCCAGGGATATGGGTGCAGAGCGCCCCCCACAGCACTCCCCAGGGATATGGGTGCAGAGCACCCCCCCACAGCACTCCCCAGGGATATGGG